TAAGTGAACCCAGATATAGTAAGCAGTAGATATCGCTATTTACAGATGGAGCCCAGCTGGTCGAGTGTGTGGGAGTTGTTTATTTATTAATCTCTTAATTTCTAGCAGCTGAAAGCTTTTCAGAGTGAAGTTGCACAATTGATGGAGCAGTAGTAACAGTAACAGCAGTTGCAGCAAATTGATATTGATCGTCCAGTTGGAGGCACTTCGATTAATTTGTGTAACCATTTCCCATCCGCAGGAGCGTCGCAAGTACGACAAACTGGGCTGGAATATAGCGTACGATTTCAACGACACGGATTTCGAAGTGTGCACCGAAATCCTGCGCACTTACCTAACCCGTTGCGGAACGGGTAAAATACCGTGGAATAGTTTAAAGTACCTAATTGGCGAAGTGATGTATGGAGGACGGGTCATCGATGACTTCGACCGACGCATAACCAACTGCTATATGAACGAGTATATGGGTGATTTCCTATTCGATGAGTTCAAGGTATTTCACTTTTACGAGGATGAAAATGTGGACTATTGCCTGCCGGAAGAGGAGACCATACTGAAAGAGGACTACATAGGTGAGCAGAGGGTTTGGAGCCATATCCCTGAGCTATTTACATATATAATGCATTGATAACAGCGCACATCGACAAACTGCCGCTGGTCAACAAGCCGGATGTATTTGGTTTGCATCCGAACGCGGAAATCGGTTATTACACAATGGCGGCACGCAACATTTGGAACAGTTTGATTGAGCTGCAGCCGCAGACTGGTGAGTGGCCATCCTGGTTGGGGATTCCATCCAATATTTAACCGACATATACCCGCGGGCATATCTGCTCGAGAGATAGCATACCATACCATATACCATCCCCATCATGCACAGCGCAAAACCCACATATTACACTGGTTATCACACGCACTAGTGGCTCCTCGCTCGCCTATCCGCCGATAATTCGAATCGGAATTGGAATCGGAAAAAAGTAATGATAATAATGTAATATAGATATGAGCATCGGCCACCCATGGTAAATGGTAAATGGTTCAATTTGCATGAAACGTGTGCCAATTGTCAGCCGTTTATTACATTTTATCTTGTTGATTTTCATTCCGGCACACTCGCTCTGCTATGCTATGTTGTATTTTTGGCATGTTGAATTTTTAATTTAATTTAATTAATTAGTTGCGGTTTTGCAATTAACTTTATTGCATGCGCCATTATTGCCGGCGCACAACAGCAATGCACACATTAAAAATTAAAATAGAACCACACACGTAGCCCACATGGGTCGGGTCAGATTGGAGGGCAGTGCACAGGCATATATATATATGGATCCCATATATATATATTCCTCATCCCCACTCCCATTGGTATTCACTCACTTTCATCGGATTGCCGCAAATCGCAGCGAATCGAGTTCAAACCTCACCGCACCAACCGCCATCAGAAGTACCAAAAAATGGTGAAAACGTCACACAAAAGTCGATAATTTTGCGTTACGGGCTTAAACGTGTTAAAACCGCCATCACAGAGTGCACTTTCCATGCCATGCCCCACGTCCCCAACTCCCATCGCCCCACTCACACCCACCACCCACCCACAATCATGCATATTTATATATGTGTGGCCTTGTAAATAATTGTATATACAATTTGGAATACTTTTTTAAATATATTCGCACACATGAAGTGACCAAGTGGACACCACCGACCGAAGTCAATCCTGGTAAAGTATTCAGCGTAAACAGAAAAGCCACCCCGCCATCGCCCATTTAGTGTAAATAAAAATAATAATAAGAACAAATATTTCCACTGATTAAAAATCGAGTTTAACCATTTTATTTCAATTCATCGAGATACGCACCAAGATACGGTCGAGCAAAACAGTTCAGCTGCAGGGAACTTTTAAAACGCTACCAATGAATTATATACATAGTGAAATTGTAAATCCTAAATAAGTTATTTAAATATTTTAGTAAAATTGAAAATATTAAGTACTTTATTTTGTCTATGTATTTTTTTAACGTCATTGAAGCAAAACGCGAATTCTTTAGAACAGAGAGATCCCAAGAAAGGCTTTTATATCCAGTTAGCATTAAGTTTACACCAAGTTTTTCGGTCTTCATTTTCTTAAAACGGAATACACCAATATGCTCGATAAAGCATTGAGTAGCTCCCTGAAAAATTCCGATAATTTGCATATTCATGAGCTTTAGTATTTGCTAATTGACACTTTAACAAAAAATAAAGCAGGGACCGAAAAGAGGGAAAAAATTCTATTTGGTTGCCAGATAAAGGGGAAAATTAATAAAATCAACAGAAATGCGGGGCGGGAAAGACATGGTGTAAAAAAGGCAAGTGGAAAAACCACAGGCTCTGCATATATTACTGCGCCATTTTCCTTGCCTTTGTCCTGACACCTGCCACCACCACAATCCCCCACTGACGTTCCCCTATTTTATTTTTTTGGCTGCATCCAGGCGAGGGAACTGGAGGAATCAGTCGCGACGACTTCATCGACTCGGTGGCAGCCGGTATACTGAAGAAATTACCTCCCGCCTTTGAGACATGGCGCATCCGCAAACAGATCCAGATGAGCCTGTCACCCACCGGGGTGGTCCTCCTCCAGGAGCTGGACCGCTTTAATCTGCTGGTCGTGCGGATCAAGAAGACGCTAGAGCTGCTCCGCAAGGTAACTAACTCAATATAGATCTACTAAGAGGGATTTTCTCGTATATGGGCTGTCAATAGAGGCCGCACATAAATCCTTCAGCCTTGTTTTGCATTTCGCATTTGTTTATGCATTTGCCAACTTGGCTGGCGACCAAGCAAACAATGTCCAAATTTGAATGTGGGCGATTGGGGGAGATTGCGGAAATTCCAATTGGGAGATCGAGATCCCCATCCCCCCAACCCCGAGCTAAGGCTTCTGCATTTTGTTGCCAAAATAAATTTACAAATGCAAATGAACTCGGGGCGGGCTTTGTCTTGGCCCCAGGATCTGCAGTCACGCCCACACATGTGCCTCTCCATTGTGCCTTTTAATTTAATTGCATGCTCTCCGCAGGCCATTGCCGGCGAAATCGGCATGGACAATGTGCTGGACAACATTGCCAACTCGTTGTTCAATGGCCTCCTGCCAGCCGCGTGGAGCAAGTTGGCGCCGGCGACATGCAAACAGTTGGCCAGCTGGCTGGAGCACTTGCGGGTGAGTCGAGAAGGGTCGAGTGGAGTCCTTCGAACCAGTCCCTTTCACAGCCGCGCTGCTCATTAATCAGCTAAGCGCAAAATCAATCAAGGTGAGTTCGTGTCCGTGTCCACTAATCAGCCTTTCTATCGTTCGCACAGCTCCGGGCCGTCCAATACAAATACTGGACGCTTTCAGGAGAACCCCTGGTCATGTGGCTGTCGGGGCTGCATATACCGCAGAGTTATCTCACGGCCCTGGTGCAGGTGAGTCTGTATTGTCACGCCTTTACGGGGGCCACCTGCTATACACTTTAAAATAAAGTCGCTCACATCGGAAATAATAAATATGAGATATTTTTATAAGGTCAATCTTAATTTCAAGAACGTTATATTCTCAATTTCGAAAAAAAAACATTTTTGATTTTATTTTTGTTGTTATTTGGACAATAACTAATACTTAAATGGTTCGAAAAACTATTTCCAATGAAGTGATTATATTTCTAAATCTTGAACTTGATTGCTTAAATGTATTAAGAATCCCTTTTTGATTTCAATAATTTGGTTTCTTCCCAAATATTTTTATAACTACTTATTTTGTTCAGTTTCCAATTTTCCGAGTGTTTTTGTTCCATCCTTTCAGATTGCCTGTCGCCGCAACGCCTGGCCGCTGGATCGCTCCACGCTTTTTACCTACGTAACCAAGTTTGCGGACCCCGACGATGTGGAGGAGCGTCCCGAAACGGTGAGTTGAAGCGATACTTCCTCCTCCTAAATGCAAAACGATGACCCAACTCCATTTTGGTTCAGGGGCTGGCACTAATTTCGTAATTAGGAATTCTGTTTGCATTTTAATCGCTCAACTTTTTGCAGGGCTGCCTCGTGCACGGTCTGTACATCGAGGGCGGGCGCTTTGACTTGGCCGCTAATCAGCTGGCGCGTTCCCATCCCAAGATCCTGGTCGAGGAGCTGGCCATTCTCGCCGTGGTGCCCATCGAGGCACACCGTCTCAAGCTGCAGGTTGGTTGGTGTTTTGGGATCTGGGTGGGCCTGTGGGGGTAGCCAGGATAGTCGGGATAGCCAGGATAGCTGCCGTCTGGCAGTGACAAGTACTAATGTGCACTTGTATCTACATATGCCAGGGGGCGGCGGACGACGGACGGGGCGTGGCTACGTTGATATTTGTTTAAATGCATCGCACTAAATTACCACCAGCTTCCGCAAAACCTCCCAGCCAACTAATGGGGCAACTGTTGTGCTAATTGTTTCCGAGTTTTTGGGAAGTAAAATAAGTGATGGCTTTAAATGGGGGAGACCATGAACTTGGTCCTTAAATTGTTTCAACCTTAACTAATATTGTTTTCAATTTTCTCCTTAGAATACTTACCTGGCCCCGGTTTACACAACTTCGCTGCGCAGAAATGCGATGGGTGTCGGTTTGGTATTTGAGGCCAATTTGGCCACCTCAGAGGATCTCAGTCACTGGATTCTACAGGGCGTCTGCTTAACCCTCAATACAGATACATAAGAATTTTTTTTTATTTGAAGACTGAACATTTATTAATAGTGTTTGTTCGTAATAGAATTTATTTGTACCATATTCCAGTACTTCCAGCAATAGCGTAAAATTATGTTCACAGAAAAGTTGTAAATAAAACAATTGTAATCGAAAAGTTGCAAATAGCTCAGACAAAAACAAAAGTTGAAGAACATAGTTCTTTAGAAAATGGGTGAGTGAACTTTAAAATTCCTACAATACTTTCCTTTCGGCAACTTTTATATGATTACCCCGATTTTCCAAATATGTAATTAAAAACATCTTTCTTTTAGTATTTATTAATATTTATCGAATGGATTTTACTAAGCCAAATAAATCTATGTTTACAGCTCTGTAGTGGCAATGGAGTTTATTATAAGTACGTAGGTTGCTAGTGCCTGTCAATAACGTGATTTGTGCCTGAACCGTCTGATGATATGCCTCCGCTCCTCCGCCTGGCATTACCTTCGCCGCCAGCATCCGAAGCAGCCCTTGAACTTATCCAAAATGGTTGTCTTCATGGAGGGCAGCAGGAGCTCGAGATTCTGGGTGCCAGCACTGTCGTCCGACTCCAGATCCGAGTCAATGGTCATTTCCTGTATGCTGAAGGTATCAGTCAGTTCGTGGTTCTGTTGGCGGCGCTTGGACCGCTTCAGTTGGGCCGGAAAGAAGGAGATCTCCTCGGCCTCATCACTGCTTTCGGATTTGTAGTCCACCAGGGGCTTGTGTTCCGGTTCGCCAGGAATGGGAAGTCGATTGATCGGTATCAGAGTGGAGGATTGCGTCTTGGTGGCCTGCGGATAAAAAGGATAATCTATTACAGATAATCCCTTGTATTGAGTAGATCCAAAACACACCTGCTCCTCCTGAAACTGAGTGTAATTCCGCCGGGCACGCTCGACCTTCAGCTCCAGTTTGCGCTGCAGTATGCGGCAGGTGTTGGGTGGCTCATGGCCTCGACCACCTCCGGTAGCTTCCTCCTCTTCATCGATTTCTATGGTCGTGGGGGCATAAACCTTGCCGGCACCCCTGAAAGCCACCTCAAACTCCAGATCCGACATATGTTTGGGGGCTCCGCTGGCCGTTTTCTGCAGTGACGTTACCAATGGAAAATTGCATTTCCTTCTCTCAGCTGTTGTTGTCTTTTGTCAAATATACTTACCAGCAATCCCGCTGCTCCATCCTCGTATATGTTGGATTGCCTGTCCTCGCTGTCGATGCCGCTATCCTCCATATTTATTTTTAAAACTGGACTTTGTTTAACACTTTAAAAGTATGTCTAAAAAAACCGAATTGCACGCGATGGCAATACAAACAAATTTTATTGTCTTCCTCTGTACGACTCCCAAACTCCAATCAACCCCGGGGTCTAGAGCGCAGGCTCCAGCGAACAGCTGGTGTGAAGAACTGGGGAAAAATCAATAAACCCTTGCCCGAAAAGCGTTGCCAGATGGGGTGGCTTTTCTTTTTGAAATCGTGGGGCCATCATCTCATCATCATTATCTGAAATCTCATCTTTATACATATGCACTCTTTATTATATATTTTTAATTTATTTACAATTATTTGTTTTTAGGCTTAAATGCTTTACTCGTTGCGCAGAAATGTCGTAGAAACTAAAAATTAAAAAGGCAAATTCGTTTTAGCCACTTGATTTCCTCGATTGAATTAAAGGTTACTCGTTATCAAGAATAAATAGGAACACAAACATAAAAACACTAATACTATTTGCTTTTGTTCTGGAAGAGAGTAAAATACTACAGTATAAAGAAGTTAATTCGTTCTTGATCAGTAGACTATAATGTTTGGCTATGGCTAAGCGGTTGGCTTTTTGGTCTCTCTGCTTTTGAATGATGGGATGTTCAATCTCCGAATGTCGATCCAATTATTCTTGTGTGGTGCGTTTAAGCTCAATTCAATACGAAAGTTAAACAAAATTACTCTGCTATCTGTGTGGAATTATACCGCATTGGGATGAAGTGGGGCCGAGGCCACTTGGCCCGCCAATGTGCAGGATCGGCAGCAGAACTTGGTGTAGTACGGATTGGTACAGTACTTGCCCTGGACGATCAGCTTGCAGTTGGCAAAGTACGGATTGTCGACGCACTCCGGCGACACAGGTACAACAGCTGAAACATGATATCATATTATGTAATGTCTTGGTTCATATTTCAAACGTTATCCTTACATTGTATAGATACATTTGCATCTCCATTGGCATAGGTGTACGCATTACTAGCTCTGCAGGTATACTTGCCCGAATCCTCGGGGGTCACATCACTCAGTATCAGACTATGTGGCTGGGCTGTAAAATTATGGAAGATTTCATATTATTACAACGTAATACACCTTGAAATAATGGGAACGGAAAAAAGCTAAGATCACACTTTCCCAATTTGAGAATTTTTCTTCTGGCTTATTTAAGAAAAAACGTTCTTGAAATCAAGACGAAAATTCTCTCGAGTCTGATTTTGCAGATAAGATCTAAATCTTAATCTTTGGAAATCGAAATCTATCTGTATATGGCTAATGTATCTTCTACTCACATGAAATTTGAACCCGCTCGTTGTTATAGAGAGGCACATCATCCTTGGTCCAGGTGACATTTGGTAATGGATAACCCTGCACAGAGCAGCTCATGAATATGGTGGATCCCGGTGAGTAGTTGTTCTTCGGGTCCAGCGCCAGCACAGCATTTACATTCACTGTTTATTAGATCAAAAAAAGGTTACTTCCTTGGAACCCAAAACATACCCCTTAACAAGTATAACAAACACCATGCCAGGCCAGCCGCAAACATGCAAATGTGCGATACTTACCAATGGGCTCAGGCACGTAGGCCGGTCGAGTGGGTCGGTAGGGAGAAACGGGTCTCTGGGTCACCGGACGGGTGGCCGGATCGAGCACATACTGCAAGTACTCGGCCTCCTCGTGGTTTCGAGCCCGCACTGGACCCACCGCCTTCAGGGTGACACGCAGCGAAACGGGACGCCGCTGGTTGTACACCTCGCAAGTGTAGAGACCAAGGTCCGTCAACTGTATCGAGTTGAAGACCAGCGAATAGTCACGGGCCATCAGGTTGTTCTTAAGGCCAAACATGTGTCCGTTGCGCCACCAGCTGACATGCGGTTCCGGGAAGCCACCGGCGGGACAGCGAATCACCGCCGGGCGATTCAACTGCACGATCTGGGTAACGTTCTTGTCACCGTAAATATAGGCGGACAGGCTTACGGGTTCTACCGTCACCAAGTTTCAAGCAAGGGATTACGGAAAAGCAAGCAGCATGCGCAAAGTGTGCAATATAAAGCAGTTAGTTACAAAGCCAACACCAAAATTTATAAGGTACGTTTTTTAAAGTGGTATATAGTCGGTTTTCCAACTATTAAGTAATCGTTAATAAATATGCACCCTGAAATATGAAAGATTTGTCGCTTGTTAAATTAACATCACATTGAAAAAGGGAATTTGTCTTTCTGAACAATTAAACTTCTGAAATCTTAACATGACATTGAGAAATCGGACCTAAGTGGTATTATGACAAAAAATTAATTTTAAATGCATACAAGTACTTAATTTAGTAACGATGTGAAAGAGTACATCTACCAAAATGGGAGTTAAAAACGCACCTGTAACCTGGAGGGCAACCTCACGTCGCACGGGTTCACCAAGTCCATTGCTGGCCACACAGACGTAGGTACCATCGTCGGTTTGACGCACCTGGACGATGGTCAAATCACCGTTGGAAGTCAAGACGTAGCGACCCTTGTTCGTATTAATCTGTTAAGGAAACAGTAATGCATTAAGGAGGTTACGGAAAAGTGTTCGTCATCCTCCCAATAACTTACCACCAAGTTTTTGAGCGACCAAGTGATATTCGGAGCTGGATTGCCGGTGGCGAAGCAGCGCAACACGGCAATACCACCGATGGAAGTCTGGACATCAAGTTCATGGGGTTCCTTGGGTTCCAGAGCTGCGCTGACATCGCCTGGATAGGAGACCACGGGGGCCTGAGTACGAGGTGGCTGCGTGGGGCGAGCGGGATGGACGCAAAGTTGTCCGCAGCCATCGCTGCAACACTTGTTGTTGCCCAGACAGTCGGCATCGGAGTAGCATTCCCGGACACATCCACTGGCATTGGCCGATAGAGCTGGACACTCGCCTGGTTTGTTGATTTCACGGCAGACTGGTGCAAACTGGCGATCGTCGGACCTGGACACATCGATGGCGCACTGTTGGCCCTCCGGACAGCTGTAGCCCTCGCAAGGATTATCGCAGACGCACTGTGTGCACTCTGGCTGGGAACGGGCAGCCTCACGGCGTACACCATATGGACAACGAAGTTCCCTGCACTCACCATCAAAGGTATCGCATGGGTTCTGTCCTATACCGTTGTCTAAATCGTTACCATCCGCTGTAAGAAAGGGGAATTGCGATTCAGTTAGGCTAGATACTACAGATAGGTCTTCCATTCCCCAAAACCCGTGCAGTCTTAAGTCTAGTGAAAGTGCACTAATCGCAACTACTACAGATGCTACTCTAAAGATTCTACGAAAACAAGCGGTTTGGGTGTGTGCAGATTGCAAGGTGCATTCATGGGTGGGTGGGTGCTTTTTGTGGTGCAGTGAGCTCTGTGGTGCAGTGAGCTTTGTGGTGCAAAAGTGGTGGCTGGTGGTGGGTCTTACGTCGGCATTGGCTCATGCATGCCTCGAAGGATCGGAAGTTGTTCTGGTTGCCGGAGCAACCTTGGTAAATGAAGGTCACACAGTTTCCTAGCGAGTCGTCGTAGTACCAACGGCGCTCTTGCACCGAAGGTCCATTGCAGCGGCCCATCGCCAGTGGCAGCAGGCAGATTTCTACTTCCGCAACAGAAGAATAACCAGTTAGCCCAAGGACTCTCCATGGTCGACACCCCAAGTCGAAATCCCCCCGAAATATATGTTACCTTTAGCCGAGCCTACTGCCGGTTCGCGACCGGCTATGCAAACTGTCTGACACTCGTACAGATCATTGAAACGGTTGCCGGTGCCATCGCAACCACCGTAGGTGAAGGGTTCACAGGCCTGGCTCTCTTTGTTGAAGTAGTACTTGGTCTGCCAATCGGTGCACGGACCCGTCGTCACTTGCTCATGGCAAACGTCTGACACAAGAGATTATAACACCTGAAACACTCAAGTCCCCAACCCGGCAGCCCAAAACTTACCCACTCCCTTGAACTCTCCACACTGCCGTTCGCATTGGTCGCGGGTCTCAAAGCGATTTCCATTGCCACCACATCCTGTGTAGGTGAAGGCCGTGCAGGCCATGTTCTCGTTGTCGTAGAACCACACGGTGGTCCTGTTGTCGCACTCTCCAGCCTCTGGTGGTAGGGTGCACACGGAGTAGGTCTGGAAACAAAAAAGAAAAAAAAAAAATTTTTTTTTAATATTAAAAATAATACAAAATATGTTTACATTAACAAGAAATACAGTAAAAACCATTGTCTCTTACCGGTGCTGGAGGTTGTGGCTCGGGTTCCACTGGACCCTGACTCCTGCAGAAACTCAGACAAGCACTCTCCGACACGAAGTTGTTGCGATTACCACGGCATCCGCTGAACTCGAACTCGTGGCATCCGCCACTGCGCTCGTCATAGAACCAGCGTCGGGAGAGGTCACTGCATCGTCCTCGGACAGGGGGCAGGGCACAGGTGGTCTGGGCGTCATGGCACTCGCTCTGGCACTCCTCCTCGCTGGCATAGTTGTTGGCATTGCCGCCACAGCCCGTGAAGATGAACTCGTCGCAGAGTCCCTCCTGGCTGTTGTAGAACCAGCGGGTCTCGTTCTCATAGCAATTGCCCGGCTCGGGTGCCAGGAAGCACTTTGAGGTGTCAGGACGAGGTTCCTCAGGTTCAGGTTCCGGTTCGGGCTCGGGTTCGCCAAAGCGGGTGTCTACGTTAGGGGAGCAGCTAGCTGAGCATTCATCCTCTGAGGCAAATCGGTTATCATTGCCCCCGCAGCCGCCATAGTAGAACGACTGGCAGCGACCCTCCGTCTCATTGAAGCTCCAATTGAGTACCCATTCGTCACATTGACCTGGATCAACTGGCTGACTGCACTGCGCAAGAGCTTGAGGAGGAGCTGGCTTCCTTGTAGGAGCTGGAGTTGGTGGTGGAGTAGGAGCAGGACGCTGCTGCCTGGAGCAACGCTGTTGACAATCGGACTCCGTTTCGAAGCGATTGTCATTGCCGCCACAACCGCCATAGTAGAACTGACGACACGCCCCATAGTTCCGATCAAAGTGCCACTTGAGGGCCCATTCACCGCAATCGCCAGGAGCAGCATCCTCCTCGCAAATGTCCCCAGTGCTGGGAGCTGGCCTGGGCGGGATGGGGCGGTGGTGGTGGTGGGTTCCGGCTTGCGATCGCAACGTGCCAAACAGGACTCTTCTGTGGAGAAGCGGTTCTCATTGCCTCCACAGCCGCCGTAGTAGAACTGGCGACAGCCTTGAGCCATGGTGTCGTAGTACCAACTCGTAACATAGTTGTCACACTCGCCCGTCTCCGCAGGAATATCACAGATGTCCTTGGCTAATTTGGGCAATGGTACGAAGAGAGTGTCAGTAGGGCAAGGTTTTTGGGGTTGGATCGCACAGAAAAACACATTGAAAGCAGCCGCCAAGGGCAGACAACATTTAAAGCTTACCAACTTGCCGGGGGCAGTGGTCCTCGCAGGACTCCAAGGTGGGGAAGTTGTTCTTGTTGCCACCACAACCCGTGTAGTAGAAGGGCACGCAGCGCTTCTCGTTCTCGGAGAAGTGCCACTTGGCCAGCTTTTCACTGCAATTACCGGCTTGCTTAGGAAGCGCACAGCGGTCTGGGATTCATAGGATGGTAGAGGTTGTTGGTTGTGCAGGAGGAGATTCGGATGCGGGTGTAGATTCAGGAAGTCGGCAAAGCAAGTAACAAGCAATCATGCACATACAATAAAGTAACCAAGCAGTTTTTTGGGGAGAAGGAAAGTGTGGGAAGAACATACCGTTAACCAGGAGAAACCAAGAGGTTTAAACTTAAAGATACTCATAAACCAAAGCACGTTGCGTACAACTAATCCCATTACCATTACCCAATTCAAGGCACCACAAAATACTAAATCTGATCTCAAACCTTTAAGCACGCCAGGCTGGCGGCAATTGTAGTTGCAGGCGTGTTCCGTAGGATAGTTGTTCTTATTGCCCTTGCATCCTCCATAGGTGAAAGGTCTGCAGATGTCGCTCTCATTGTCGTAGTACCACCGCTCAAAGTTTCCGGCACACGGACCACTCTCCACAGGCTGTTCGCAGGTAGCTGAAGAAGGAAGAGTTGAGATATAGAACATGGTATAGTAATATCTAACATAAGTACATATAACATAGGTATTCCAAAAGTGCAATGTCTAACTACTAAATATTAGATTTTATTATAGGTATCATGTTCATAGGAACTATACTTACGAAGATTATCGCTGGCAGAGCAATTTCCTTGGCATTGTTCCTTGGTATCGAATCGGTTACTGGTGCCGTAGCATCCGCCGTATTGGAACTCCTCGCAACGGTTGTAGTCCGCATTGAAGTACCATTTCTTCTCGGATCCCGTGCAGGGTCCAGAGGCCTTGGGCAGCAGGCACACATGCTTCCCGGAGTATTCCTGACAGGTGTCCTTGCACTCGGTCTCGCTGTCGAAGCGATTGTCGTTACCCTCGCATCCACCATACCAGAAACGAGCGCATCCTCCGTAGGCAACATCGAAGAAGTACTTGACACTGAAGTTGGTGCAGTTGCCCGTTTCCTTGGGCAGGCTGCAGGCTTTTTGCGGCGGTTGCTGGACATTCTCGCATCCTCCGAACTTCTCGTCCGTCGCCTTGGTAACTCCATCGGGACAGCAGCCGAACTTGCTCTCGAGGCAGGTGCATCCCTCGCCATTAGGTCCCTTGGCCGGGGTCTTCTCGTCATCGCAGCACTTGAACTCGGTCTGTAGGCAGTGGCATCCGTGGTTGTGTTGTCCCTTGGCGAAGGTGATTCCGTCGGGACAGCATCCGAACTGGGTGGTCTCGCAGGGGCATCCCTCGAACTTGGGTCCCTTGGCAGCGGTGATCTTGTCGGGACAGCACCCATGAGGGGTCGTCTCGCAAGCACATCCCTCCTGGTTGTAACCAGTGGCCGGCGACTTGTTGTCCGGACAGCAACCGTAGGGTGTGTAGTGACATTCGCATCCCTCATTGTTGGGTCCACGGGCGGCCAGGATGTTGTCGGGGCAGCATCCAAACTCAGTGTCCAGGCAGCATCCTTCCTTGTTGGGACCGTGAGCCGGGGTCTGGGAGTCCGGACAACATCCATAACGCTCGCGAGTGCAGCCCGCGCAGCCCGCACCATTCGGTCCGCTGGCAGGAGTTTGACCATCCGGACAGCAACCGTTCTCGGATTCTCTGCAACTCTTCGGCTTCTCTGGCTCAACATCGCAACCCTCGAACTTCTCACCCTTAGCGGGTGTTTCCCCATCGGGACAGCAACCAAAGTCGGAGTAGGAGCAGGACTTTTTGGTATCTGGCTCAGATGTCGTCGAGTCCTCTCCTGATCCCTCAATCTCGGTAGTTGACTCCGGTTGCGATTCTTCTGTGGTGGTGGTAGGCGGTACAGTAGTTGTCTGCGGACATCCTTCATCATCCTCTCCTTCGGCAGCGGTGAATTTATCGGGACAGCAGCCAAAGAGGGTCTCGGCGCACTGGGACTTGGGACAACCCTTGTTGTTCTTGCCCTTGGCTGGAGACACTCCGTCCAGACAACAACCGTAAGTTGTATCGGCACAGGTCTTAGCAATGGGGCAACCTTCGTCAAATGGTCCCTTGGGAGTGGACTTTCCATCCGGACAGCAACCGTATTTTGACTTGGCGCAACTACTCTTTTTAGGCTTGCACTTGCGAGGCTTGTCCTTGGTAACTTCAGAATCAAAGGAGTATGGAGTACTGGTCTCCGAATCGTCATCCTTGTCACTGGTGCTCCAGATATCATTGGTAGTGCTGTCAAGATCTGTAGACTGGGTGCTGTCTGTGGATCCCTCAGAAGTGCTTTCGGTAGATCCTTCGGTAGTACTCTCCTCGGTTGGGCCGCTTTCTGTGGTATCACCAGTTTCTCCAGTGGAAGTGCTTTCAGTAGATTCAGTAGAATCTGTGGAGGAAGCTTCTGTAGAAGCAGAGGTATCGGTCGTTTCCGTGGATCCAGATAGGTCTGTGGAAGATGACGAGTCTGTAACGGTTGAGTCTGATGCGATGGAAGAGCTTGTGGAACTGTCGTCATCGACGGTACTTCCTTCAGTGGTCGAACTTCCACTGCTAACCTCAGTGCTTTCGGTTGATACAGAGGATTCAGTGGAGCCATCAGTAGATCCATCAGTAGAGGCGTCACTAGATCCATCAGTAGATCCATCTGTTGAAGAATCAGTAGATCCATCAGTTGACGTAGCGGTAATACCATCAGTGGTGCCATCAGTGGAAGTATCTGTCGATCCATCACTAGATACCACAGTAGATTCGGTGGAGTCCGAACTAGAAGTGGAAGAGGAACCATCAGTTGAGCTTTCCGTTGAAGAAGCGTCCGAGCTCGAAGAAGCATCAGTGGTTGAGGAAACATCAGTGGTTGAGGAAACATCAGTGGTTGAGGAAACGTCCAAAGTAGAGGATTCTGTGGTATCAGTTGATGACTCGGAGGTGGTCTCCGTTGTTTCATCCGAAGTGGAGTCCGTAGAATCTGAAGAAACTGTAGAGTCGGAAGTGGCATCAGAAGTACTGTCCGAAGAACTCTCTGTTGAGCTGGATACACTGTCAGTTGAGCTGTCTGTGCTGTCACTAGAATCGGACACAGATGAAGACGAAGCCTCTGTTGTAGATTCACTAACGTCTGAAGTTTTGTCTGAAGAATCAGTAGAGTCATCTGTAGAACTCGATGCTTCCGTAGAACCTTCAGATGTAGAGTCTGCACTAACAGTAGACTCAGAAGCGTCTGAAGAGCTTGAAACATCGGTTGAGTCCGAGGTGGATGCTTCCGTTGAGCTTGAGACATCAGTGGAGCTACCTGAGACACCCGTCGATTCTGTAGATTGGTCTGTGGAGTCGCTGGAATCGGACACTGAAGATGATGGAGCCTCTGAAGTCGAATCGCTGGAAACGCTGGAGCTGGAGTCACTTGAGCTGGAGTCACTGGAGCTAGAGTCACTGGAGCTTGAGTCAGAAGTCGTCGAGCTGGACAGGTCAGTGGAAGCCTCAGAAGTTTCCTCATCATCGCCACTTCCCTCTGTACTAATTCCGCTGTCGGTGGTTGAATCGGATTCATCTCCCGATCCTTCAACTGTGGTACCAGTCGAATCTGACTCATCGAATGGTGTCGGGCTGTCACTTTGCATTAGTTCCTCAGCTTCAGGTGTTGTTTCCGTACTCTGTTTATCTTCCAAATCAATAATATCGGCGCTCTTTTCAACATCCGGCAAGCTATCGGTGATCAGTTCAATACCATCTTCATCACAATCCTCCTCGTCATCCTCGATGGGTTTGTCGGTGCTAGTCAAGGGCAATATCTCATCCTCGGTACAAGCTTCTGGATTGCACTTTCGGATAGGGGTTCGACCTTCGACTCATCACAGTTAACGGACTTGGTTCCATTGGATAGACACAGGACCTCGCGAACTCTCTCCCCACCTCCACATGGCTTGCTACACTCTCCCCAAGGTCCAGTGAACCATTCACCGGGGCACTCCTTCTCCTCGCCCTCGCACTCCTGTTCTGACTCCGGTTTCGTTTCCTTGTCGCACTTTGAGTCATCACTTGCTGGACTCACAGTCATGCCATTGAACTCCCCGCAGAGGACAATGCGGGACTTAACGCCCTTGCCGCAGGGAGCGGAGCACTTGCTCCATTCCGAGGAGAACCACTGCGCCTGGCACTTGGGCGATTTGCAAGGTCGAGATAGAGTAGGCACCTCTGGTTCACAGAACTCCTCCGGGTACACCTTACCTTCCTTGTTGCCACAGATAGCCGTGCGAGTTTCGGTGTTTTGACCACATGCGTTGCACTGCAAGACAGTGGAATTCAGTATGTGAGGGCTGGATAATTGGCATCACTACTTACACCGCTCCACTGAGAGATTATCCAATCAACGCCCTCGCAGGGTGTCAAAAGGCAGGACTTCTCCACCTCCGGCTTCTCCTCCACGCAATCTTCTTCGGGCAGGACTCGCTTGCGTCCGTTCTCCTTAATGTAGCAAGTCACCTTACGTGTCTGCTTTCCTTCGCCGCAGAGCTTATCACATGGTGTCCAGGGTCCCAGATGGTACTTGGGACAGTTCTTGACATCGCGATTGCACTCCTGTTTGGTTGCCGGCTTGTTGCCAACCTCCTTGAGGCAAACAGCGTCTTCTTCAACTGTATGCTCGCTGAAATAAAAGCCACAAGATGTAATTACGTTTTAAGAAGTATTAACAAGAGTAGTGTTTTATCTCGGCTTAACTAATCCGGCTTTTATAAATTAGATAGACTTACCCTGAAGAGGAAATTCGTTCGCAGGTGATGCTTCTGTTCTGGAAACCGTCGGCTCCGCAGCCCTTGGAGCACTTAGACCACTCGCCCTCCACCCAGTGGGGAGCGCATGGTTCCGTGCCGCATTCCTGTTCCTCCAATGGCTTGGACTTTTCATCGCACAGTGCTGGATTGACCTCCGCCAGGGTGATGCGGTTGTTGCAGGTGACCACTCGGCTCTGGGTTCCACCGCCGCAGGAAGCACTGCAGTCACCAAATTGGTGATGCGTCCACGTATGCGTATCCTGCTGCGAGTGACTCAGGGACTCCGGAATGCTGTATTCGTACTCGAGGCTGATGTTCTTCTCTTGCACCAACATCACAATGAAGATGCTCTCCGAGATGGGACCGCTGCAGGTCAGTTGATCGGGGGCAGCGAAGCCCATGGGTTTGCGTTGGTAGTTCCACCACGAGTTGGCGAAGAACATGGGGCGTGGGAAATCGATGCGCCAGTCGCCGTTCAGGTAGTAGTGTCCACTGTGGTTCCGGCAGGCCAGATAATTGCTGGATGGGGCCGTCTCCTCGATGCGGATATTGGTGGCACCCTCGGGAAGGAGCAGCAGGTCATTGTAGCCTGCAGCCAGGTCTTTGGTGGTGATGGTGTTACGGATCGTCTTGCAGGTGCTTCCATCTCCGCCGCACTTTCTGCACTTGTCCTCCTTGGCATTGCTGCCCAGCATCATGTCACAGCCCACCGGCATGCACTTTCCATTGACGCACACGTCCAGATCCTGGTCATTGCAGCGGGTTCCGTCGATCACCGTCTCCCTTTGGCGATAGTAGAAGCGCTCGCCCTTGGGCATGCAGTTCAACTCGCAGGGATTGGGTGCATTTAAGTATGGCACCCATTCGTAGAGTACTCCATCGAAGTGCTGTCTATCGAAGCGAGAGCACTGCTGCGACCGGAAGTCGGGTTCCTCCTCCGGACAGTCTTGTGTGTTGCAGGAGAAGTAGCGCCGACTGCCTCCACTGCAGATAGCTTCGCCACGGGCACTTAGGGGTTTCAGGATAAGATTAATTTCGATATTATATAATTTAACAAAAAAAATCAAGAGATTTGAAAACGTTAATATAAGTGCCTAAAGGTTTCTTATCCTTACTTTAATAACTATCTTCGGGTCTTGTGTACTCACTCTGTGCGCAGACACTCTCGAGTCTGGTAGGACACTCCACCGCCACAAGTTCTCGAACAGTCCGAGGGCGAGCTCCAGGGTGTCCACTCATCGGGATCATCACCCTCGCCGCCGGGCGTCACGGAGCTCTCCGGCAAATACATATTCGCCCCATATTGTCTTTTTGTCTTAGCCCAGGCTGGAAGCCATTCAAAAAAGGATTAGCTATAAGAAACCATCTTCATACCCTTCATACTTACAAATCTGCTATGGGAATCATGGATGCCGGCCAGAACAATGAATGCTACCAAGGCAGTTGAGCTGCAAGTGGAAAGCGGAGAAGGCAATTTAATTAAACGCCACCCAGACATAACCTCGCCCAACTTGGCCATTCATTAAAATCATGGGACCGAAGTCACGTGTTGACTTGTTGCACATACTATACAGATATATTTGTTGACTCAGTGGACACACGAGTGCTCAGACTCATTAGAGAAGGAGAAGCAACAGGCTGGATGGATAGCTAACTGGATGGTTGGATGGTTGTATGGTTGGATGGCGGGGGAGAAACCAACTTGGACTGGGACTTTCTCGAAAGACCCTACCCCGCAGGTCCAGCGAAGGGGCATCAAACAAACTTTTGTAGGGCTTCGCGGCGACAACATGATGAACTTGTTTATGCTCACTGGCCAGAGCAAGCAAACATTGAACTTGTTTTTGCGGCTAAAAAATGTAGGGGATTGGAGATTGCAAAAAGAATGGGACTTGGTCAAGTAAAATTTGCAATTTCTTCGGTAACAATTTTTTATTATGCGCCGCGCGCACGGACCATAAATATGCAATGCCACATAAACAAGACATAATTTAGCAGGGCTTCCTGCCGATTTGCCAAAACGAAAGAAGAGCACAGAATCCAAGCAAATAATAAGTACCGAAAGCCAGGGAGAATATACGATAATGCCGCAGACAATTCGACGCCGCCAAAACCCTGCGACTTCTTAACTTCTCCTTCTTCTACAGCCAAGGAGGATGTCGTTTCGCCCCGAGGACAAGTTGCGTGAATATGTCAAAGGCGTTCAATGTTGCAGGCAACGTTTGCTGCTGCAGTGCATCCATTCCCTCCCTACCGCCACTCCTGGATTTTTTGTTGGGGGCTTGCCAATTTAATTTCTGACACTGCTGCGTGCGGGGAGCCTCTCGGTTTGTTCCGCTTGGACGCCTCCGACTGATGGCGCTCGCCTCCTGACTTTCGGAGGACAACCCCGACATCCTTTTTGGTCCTTGGAACGCAGCAGGCGTGCTGCTTATGACAGCCCGCAGCAAAGCACCGAGCACAGAGCAGGAGGAATGGGCGCCAAGTGTGGCCATAATTTTTATGCTTCTGTGTTGGCATTTTAATGCAATTTGAGCGCATTTCCCTTTTGAAACCAATGCCAGGACACCTATTGCTTTGGCAAGGACAACGGCAAATGGGGAATGGCGAATGGCAAACCGACAACGGCACACATTTCACAGTCCATTGAGCAGGGGCGGCGTCGCCCAGACGCCCAGTTGACTCCTGCTCCAGGCATTGCGTCATGCAAACAGGATACTAGGATACCAGGATTCTAGAGGACACCCCAGACCAAGCTCGATTAATTGGGCAGTTCCAAGGAAACCGCTGAGGCGGCAAAAACCGCAAGAGCGCACTTCTTGATTTCGATTTCATACGCGACTGCTGATTACGCAAAATCCTCGGACCCCCAGACCCACATCCAAATATTTGGAATTGGGATTCGGCGGGGGAATAACATTGTTATTGCCACATGCGGCGGATGCCACGTGACACTGGCACAAACAGTTGGCGCAATCGTCAAATAAGTTACACATGTCATGTGAACCACCGAAACGCCGCCACAGAAATGTCAAACAAAACTGGAGAAGGAAATGCTAAACTCGGCTGGGAGTTTACAATAATACAGTGTGCCATGTCGACTGGATTAACATCGGGAGGAGCCACAATCCCTGACCCCATTCGGTGACCAGGATTTAGTTGGCTGGCAGGCGAGATCAAAGCTTTGTGGGGGCCAATTAACGGGTCGCTAAAGGCATCTTTATGGCCTTTCTGGCCAGAAATGGTCCCACAATAGCCGCCCATTGTTCATTGTACTCCCAGCATTACAAAGGCATTTGGGTTGAGGCTCTAAGCGGTGATAATATTTTAAGGGGCCATGGCAATCACTGCATAAATGCAGCGAGAGTGCAGGGAAATGCTCCCTTTTTAGCTCCACAATTGCAGCCATTATCAGTCAACTTGAACAACTGCAGCGTGCAATGCAAATCCAGGCCAGATATATCTAAATATGTATATACACTCTCTCCAGACCGAGTAGCTAAGAGATATTCACTCCGCATCCATGCCAGAGATATATTCACGATCGTGTAATGGCTTTCAAATGCCTTCCATGCAACAAGTGCATTCTGGGGTAGAATCCGTATACACACAAAGAAAAATTTTTGTGTGAAAGATAAACTTTCATAACTCAAATAAAAATATAATTTTTTTGTATGGCGCACTACAAAAGCTTATCATCATTATCGTTAACAATGTTAAATTTAATATTGGAAATAAATATTATATTGATCATTAAATATAATATTGAACTTAAGCATTTTTAAAATCAACATGTTATTGATCATATAAGATTTTATTTAATGAAATATTTTCCAATTTTTTTTCTGTGATCTCTAAAAAAGGAATTTCGACTCCTACAATAACATTTTGTTGCGTAAAATGTTGCAACGACCATCGTAAATAAAGCGCCTGCTAATGAGCCGTAACTACAACATCAACATTATCAGCGGCACTTACTCCACAAGTGCGTGCACTTAGCCGCCAAACTCAAGACCGGCAACAAGTTATGGCTAAACAAAGCGGAATCTAAGCTATCGGAAAAGAAAATAAAGTGAGGCGAGTCGAAATCCAAACAATTGCCGCCGAAAGACAAATAAATTCTAAACAGATCTCACACCTGACCGTTGAGAACTGAAGTTGGATTTGTTTACATGAATCATCCGCGAGGTCGAGTAAGTAGAATTCCCCCACTTTAAGCCCAACCACCCACTTGTTATTGGGAATTTGAATCTTTGGGCCTTTCCCATGCCAATTGATCAAGGCAACATCAATTTAATGAAATGGCGGGGCATGCAATATTGAAGCTGCATCCATGAGGATTCCAGATCCCATTCCACAGCTGCCTCTGCAGATCCCGGGGCCCTTTGATGAAGATGGAATGCCCATGGCCCCCAGTTCGCCAGCTGCAACCGTTTGACTTCTGCTGGCCCCTTTCGCTTTTTTATGTTGATTGTAAAGAACGAAAGGAATTTGATGTTGCAGGCAGGCAACTGATTTAATTGCAGCGAGCTGAAAGTGCGGATAAATGCAAGCCCCCTGCACAGAGAAAAAATTGTATGTCTTATAAGGATATCTTTGATACTTTGATACAGAAAATGTGATTATAATAATTATTATAGTAAAATAAATATTGTTCCAATTCATACCTCGCTTTTTTGATCTTAAATATTATATCTTCATCAAACAGATATATCTTTAATATACAAGTAACGTTCATTATTATATCTATCTATCTTGAAAATATAATGTAGATGTTGGACTGTATTTGTATGTACATCTGTATATTTTTCATTGATCATAAAGATAAAATCAATGTAAGTATCTGACTTACAAATATAAAGTTGCAAATAGATTGTATTTTTTTCGGTGTAACTAAAGCCTATAAAACCCTTCGGATTATCTGATGCTGATCAATTTAGGCAGAAGGTCCTAATCAGCTTCGTTAGTACGTTTTATTTGGCCGCAAAATACCGGGCTGCAATTATGCACTGGGATCCACCTCATTAGACGGAAGGATACGTGCAGATGTGCGACACCCGTTTGTTCAAATACAATTACATAGTCATACAATTATCGCAAGACAAGCAGAGACTAATGCAAAACGCCAAATTGTGGCTGAGGTGTGGCCAGGTAAATGCTCATGTTGCCAGGTGGTGATGGTGATGATGCTCCTCCTGCCGAAGCTCCAATGACGATACGATGATGATGACTCTATGAAGAAGATGCGGGCCTGGGTACGGGGCAGAAAGCTGGTGGAACGACGACATTTGTTGCAACGGAAGTAAATGTTTGCATTGTTGAAATTTTAATTGCATTTGCATAAAGCAACGCACACAGAGAGTGGTGGTGGAGGTGGAGCTGGAGCTGTAGATGGAGCAACATCCACAGTCTGCCGGGGAATGGGAAATCTAGATGCAGTACTGCTGCCATTTTGACTGGCAGCCAAACACTTGCACAGCCTGGCCAAGCAATTATCAATTTCGAAATTAATTTAACTTAATTGAGTAGTGAAAATAATAAACATACGCCTTTTGCCCCCAAGTGTTTACGAGATGCAGACATAGCAATGCTGCTGCTGCTCCTGCTGCTGCTAGAGATTATGCAACATTCTACCAATTTCCAAACGATGACGATGCCCACACAAAGTTGCATTTGTGTTTTCGGGGCGGGGAGGGAAGGGCTTAAATGCACAACAAAGTTTGCTCAAATGCCTAATGAAATATTTGCCACGCGTTTGGCCAAATGAGCAGAGCAAATGAGCAAACAGAATGCACATTGGAGACCAGGGTCCAAAAAGGGAAAAGACAGATTTCACTATGCGTTTCACTTGGCCAACTTACTGACCCATAAATTTCACTGGCTGTCAACGGCGGCAGCTAAATCTTTGACTGGTAAACAAATTTTTATGGCCCATGCTGCGGCAGCCACGAGTTGCAGCCTCCTCAAGAGAATCAACAGTGCTGTGCAGCTAATTAGAGGCATCATAATGCCGCTGTCGCGACTTCACATCCTCAAAAAGACCCCTCAAGACCCCTTAAGACCCCGTCCCTCCACCACCCGCACAAACATTGGCAATTTTCTATTTGCCCAACTCATTCGGTTCGAGATTGCAACAAGCTGCTTGACTTCACTTATGGCTAATAGCACTCAAAAGGGGGGCCTAGAGAAACATCCACTTTTGCACCCTTTTCGAACTTTGGCCCCCCAGCCAGCGGGGGATTATTAATCAGGTCTCTGTGTAAACATTTTAGCGCCAACTCGTGATAAAAAAAATAGTGGGGGGAGAATTGAATATAGTACTCACAGGATGCCAAGTGAGCTGGCATATTTCAGCACTTAATTAGCCTCAAACTAAAGGTACATAAAAACAGAAAAGTAAATTAAACTAGCCGAACTTTTCAACAAACCAAAACTATTTCGGGAAAGGCTATTTTTTATAGGAATTCAGTTATGCTGGATCATCATATTTATAATTTCAACAACAGAAAGTAATTAAATATCTCATTACTTATGCTAAAAAGAAATATCTGTCTTATTTTTTGAACAACCTGTTCTGAGGAAGAAATCTAAAATAAACAATGACCAACTCCCATGCTTGACGCAAACAAATTTCAGTTATTTATAATAGCCTTCGTATCGAATTTGGTAACCCAGGCAATTGGCTTAAGTGCTATCATGTCAGCGAGTACGTTTACCTGACGGATAAAATGTGGAGCAGACATTGATTTATAGCGCAATTACGGGTTCGCTTATTGTTTCAGTACTTGTCAGTTTTCAGTTTTACTGGTTGGTATAGTGGGCTCCTTAAGTTTCACGGATTCCTTTTTGCCAGTTCAGGTATGTGGGTATTTTATATACACACAGGCAATCGGAAGTCGAAAAGGGCTACGTCCCTGACCCCCAAGAAGGGCTATCAATTTGGACTGCATTTCGGTTCATTTGCTGTCATCAAGATGCGCATCACGTTTCCCAAGAACACCCCGTCAAACCGATCGTCGCCTGTCGTCCGCCAAAACATTTTTATGGGTTTTTATGTTTTTGTGTTCTTCTTTTTTTCGGTTTTTGGCTGGCGGCGATTTATAAATTCACTTGTTGCATGCCCCTTGCCTTATTCTGGCTCCCCGTTTCAGACAGAACTTTTTAGGCACATTTTACTGCATGTGACGCATCGTTTGGCTTTTGCCTGTGCCTCCTTGTTGGATCTGCAGAATTTTTGGATATTTCTGCAGTCATTCGATGGCTTTTCTCCTTTTTGGTTTGGTTTCTGTGTATGTTGTATCTTTTTTTTGTATCTTCTTCTGGCTGTGCAATTTTTGTGGCGGCATATTTTGGGGCATCCTTTTTATCTTCCGCGTTTTCAGGGTACGATGACCTCGTCTGAGGCTGATCGATCCGATTGTGTGTGTGTGTGTTTATATAGCAGGGCAAACATTAACAATAGCTCTTAAGTTATTTGCCACTCACACATTTGATTTGGCTATAGGATAATTAAACGCCGCGGAGTCGGCAGTCTTTTGTTAATTAAGCATAAGACATTAAGTCATGGGAAGATCGCCCGATCTTCTGTCGCGAAACCATTAACCATGCCATTGGGGGGCCGTCTCATGGATAGGGGCCAATGGGGTCGGGGTCCTATCCCCAGCACATGTGGCAAACGCAGCGTGCAACATTGCCGCCATGAACTTGGGAGGTAATTGAGGCATGGAATGAGCATGAGCTGATCCGCAGGATTTGATGCAAGTTGCAAGTGCAACAAGGGGGGCGTCTGTTGAACATAATTTGCTGCTCATTTGCCGCATCATTCGATATTCCGAGGAAATCCATCCCCAGGCACACATGCCATTTCCGGGCGGGTTTTCACCCATTCCAAAAAGTACAGAATATGCAGATTTCGCACACTTTCTGGGCAGAAAAGCACCCACTTCGCTAGATCAACTTTGCTGAATTTTCTGATTTATTTATAGTAATTAAGGATCAATTATGCAATTCGAGTGTGTGTTTACTTGCCGACTTGCTTATACACATAGTTGGTTCAAGGCAACTGGCTCTGCGTGTATCATTTCGAAAGCATAAATTTGGAAAATTTAGTGTTTATAGTGCGGCTCGTACAGATCACACTCAATAAACAATTTGGCCCAGCAACTATGTGTGGGCAATTAGACGTTGCTCGTGTTATTCTTGTTGCATTCATTTTCCTGCCGGGGTCAGAATTTAGTGTTTTCCGCAGAATATTATACTTGAAACATAACAAACATTCGGTGGGCTAGAATTTATCAGCATAGGTAAGGTCTTATATTTAGATTGGGGAATTTTCATTAAATACACAAGATCCTAATTCCTAAGAAAGACGAATGATGCTGTACGATTTCTTCTTAGATCGGATAATTCTCATAGCCGATCTGGAAATCTTCATAGCGTTGTCTGAAGTCAAGTTCAAAGACGTCACGAGTCACAAATTTTCGCTTAATGTAATGTATATTTTGGCCACTTAATGGCCACACACAGGCGGCTCATCTGTTGAGATACGACCTACAAGATACCCGGTTACTGATTTACCGAGTGCGCTAAAACGTTTAGTTTGTGCCATTAAACTACAGACATAATGATGGTTATACGTATGTTGACCCGTTGTGGGGCTGGAGATTATCAGGGTTTGGTTTTGGGCTGGCCGACAGATCAGATACCCTGCAGAGGAATGCTGCTTTCAAGATGATTCTCAAGAACTTTTCCATTTATTTCGAAAATTTGCCGAGAAAAACTATGATTTCCTGTGAACTGTGATTAGCCCCCCCGGACACCATATGTGTCCCCAAACTTTGGCCAACATGGGTCATGTGGTGGCCACATTTTTATAGCAGTACAACTAAAAAATGTCGAGATCTATAGTTTTCCCTGACGTTGACAGAGAACGAGAGATACAGAGATTTTCGCTTTCAAGTGGCTAACGCACAATTTTCGCGAAAAACGAAAAACTTTAAAATGCTTGACGAATGGATGCGCTAACTGCCAGTTGGCCGAGGAACAAGTTTCTGGCCATTTATGTCCGACGGTGTCGGGGACTTTATGACTTTGGCCAAAAATAAAACGCACGCAACGCTTGTGGTCAACGGGCAACAAAGAACAGCCCCATAGAGATGGAGATTATGGCCAAGATACGGATGGGATGTCCAGCATGTGCGTGAGAGCAGCTAAAACCGTCGAGATCTCTGGAGTTGGCATCAACTTTGAACCGACCTCTCTGAGATGCTCCGCAAGTATCTGTCCAAGTTTCTGACCACTTTATTTTCTCTACACATTTTTGGACCTGAAAAGAAGGGGCACTTCAAAGCGCACGCACTTCACCTACGAACGCAACTCTTTGGGATAAATATTTACATTTCCATTTGAAAATTTGATTTGATTTCTTTTTTGGAATCGCACGCACATTTGGGCAAAGAAACAGAAAGACCTGTCGATAGAGTGCAGGTGAGGTAATGGCACGTTTTTCTGGGCCACCGATCTGGCTGTTTGAAGTAAAATCGTGCTGCCGGAAATTGAGATGTTAAAAGGGAAATTGATTTGCCTGGCCAAAATTAGCTAATTATAAGGGATATTATCTTTTTCTCCATCGATATACCCATCATGTAATTGATTAAATTGTATTTATTGAATTCCATGAAAGGATACCACGACACCACTATTATGGCCATAACTTTTGATACAACTTTCAGAGCTTAATTGCTAATGGAAACATTTTTGCCAGGACGAAGGACACAGGACGCAAGGCACACAAACACATTAGGAGGGCTTTGAAAGCGCTTTGAAAAATGTTGCAATTTTCATTAACAAACTTCAATTAAGTTGGCAATGTAATTTGGCATGCAAACAAAATGCTGGCCAGGATAATGGCAGTCGCGCGCAGTGTCAACATCGAGGAACGCCTGTTGCACAGTGAGCACGTAGCCAGGATACGCCCACATCCGCACATGTGGAAGGACAATCGGGAGGAGGTGGCACAGGAGCAGTGGCAGGACCAGAAGGATGGGGACACAGATGAGCAGGAGGAGACCCGTGTCAAGTGTTTGCGCATGTAGTTCAAACGGAATTAAAATTCCAATTGACACAGTAATTTGCTAGCAACACAAAGGGAATCAATTTCAGGGATTGCAGTGCTACATCTGTCGCGTTCGAATGGATACAGATACATGTTTGTCAGATGCTTACCACAACCGCCTCGATAAATCCATTTTGTGGCTCCTTGCTGACAGGACGGGACACAATAGACGTCGCCCCTCACTTTTCGCGATTTTCACACTCTCGAATCTCGACTATATATATTTTACTTTTTCTTTTTTTTTTGTTTGTGTATCGTATCGTTTTCGACTCCTTGTCCCTGCTGAAGTGGCAAACACTCGGGTAAAAAACAGCACTTGAGTTTTAATTATGTGGCACAGAACTTGTCACTTAAGAATCAGAAATTACTCGGCACTTTGCGCCTGCGCATTGCCACAGGACATAATAACCGATCGGTGCTATCGCGGTACTATCCTAAGGGTCCAAATCTCCGACTCGATTCGGCACACATCCGCAGGGTTTGACGGCACGCCAGCAACTGATCGAGTCGTCTGCGATCGCTCTAATTCTGTGCTGTGCTGTGCTGTGCCACAGAAGCAGAAGCAAAGCAAAAGCAGCAGCAGAAGCAAAGCAGCGGATCGGAAGCAGCAGCAGTGATATCGTAGCTCTATATAGCTGTAGCCATTTAGCTTTAGTTCTACAGCGATAGTGTCACAAAGGACGGCTTCCGCCCCTTCTAATCTCGAGCTCCCGACTTCAATGGGTCTCTAGAGGGTGTTTTATAGCAGCAGTACGCTTCTCGATGCAGTGCAGGGCTAGCAAGTAAGTAATACATATAAAATCGCTTAGTTTATGATCCTTTGCCAACCGGCCCCCACTAGAGACTAAAGTCGACTGGCGTTTTTTTCTTTTCTTCTTTTTTTTTTTGCAGTCTTTGCACTGTAACAACTGGTTCCCCGGCAACTCGACGCGACTCTCACTGATCTTTATGCGTTGCACGTGTGTGAGGAGCGATCCAATACGATACGATCCGAAGTTGGGAAGTGATTTAGTGGCCCTGCCCTCCACATGCTCTCGCATTGCACTCGCACGGATCCCAGTCAAGATCAACTAATGAGCCGCCCCTGCCAACACATGTGCCGACATCCTTTGACTTTGGCTTTGGCCAGTGATCCTGACTTGTCATTTCCCCAAATGCAGCTCAATTTCACTCTAATTACCACTGGCAAACACATGTGCGATGTGTTGTTTACTCTGATTTTTCGCCCGTTTCACAGACAAATTTAGGCATCCGTTCTGTGGTGGGATAAATTGCAGTCTGGCATTGCAAGAGCGTCATTGGTGCAGCATATTAGTTAGCCACAGCATCGGTTTCACGAAATTCGATCATTTCATTCATGAATTTCGCCCATCCAGAAAAAGTCAGAGCCTGAACGATGATTTCCGCATTCCACATGGCTTGGGTGTCTATTAATAGATTATATTCAACATTCAAATCTCAACCGAAACTCATGTTTCCGCCAAAAAAAAAAATAGAACAAGCGAGCTGATTAGTGCCTTATATATTCAAACTCAAACTATGGTCAAAAATTAGATTTTCACTTCGCACTTCATATTCGGACTTTGCACGAAACCGCAAAAGTAATCAGCCTTACAAAAATGTAATGAATTTAAATAATTTGCATGACAATTCTACATTTAAAGGGAGTAATCTGAAAAAAATCCCAGCCCGTGCATGGCAACATACAAAGACCCGCCTTATCTACATACATAGTTAGCTTTTCTTGGAGTTTATATGAGTTTTTCGGTAAAAAACGATTCATTGAGATGGGTTCTTAAATGAATAAAAAAAGTTAAACATTTAAGAAATCTTAAGACTGGTAATAGAAGCAGAAAGCGATTCAATGCATATATCGTTGGTTTAGACTAATCTTAACCGCAAGTTAGTTTCCGCCAAAAAAAATAGTTTCAACTCGCTGATAACGCGTTGTTCTTCTATTTTAAAGCCCGAATAATGCGTGAAGAACACTCATGGAACGGTTATATAAGCCTGATGCTAAGTCTATTTTTACACTCGACCTTATCAACACATGTCCAGGGAAAGTCGCCCTCCAGTGAGCTAATAAGTCGCAGAAATAAATTATCCACATTTCAAGGCGAACCCGCGACTAGCGATATACGAAACGCGCTTGATATAAATTCGCAAATATAAGCAAATGCTGTGTATAAAGCATCCATTCATGAATATAGGACTAAGTTCTAATTGGCATCGCGGCGGAAGCCGGTTATCTCAAACCGTTGATAGAGAGCTACGGACACTGCCTTGGTTTGGGTGAACTCCAATTAGCATAGCGATGACCCATTTAGAACAGCTTCCGTCTCTGGGACAGGGGCGCTTCACTAGCTGTCGCTCTCGATGCTAGAACGTCTCCCTTATCATTGCTCAGTTCCGCTGCCAGTCAATATCGGTATCCTAAACGCCCAAGTATGTGGGTGAAGGGTGGCAGCGGCGGCAGTGGGATCAACAGGAAGTCGGATAGTGAATTGTTTTATATAAACAGTATATAATAGAAAACTATAGATTACAATGGCGATAACAAGGCAGATTTAGTCGCGCATACAAACTAGAAACCTGGATCCCAGTCCGTTTGCTGAGCCTCCATGTTCGTGGTATAGCACTGCAGTATGTCGCCGGCTTGTGGCAGCACCTTGGTGTCTTTAAAGCGTAAGCCGCACTCCACATCCTTCTTTATGGTATCCACCTCGTTTTTCAGATGTCGCATGGACTCCAGTGGTCCATTGTAGACAACCTCTCCATCACGCAGCAGGCGGAACTTTTGGGCCTTCTTTAGCACTCCCTTGGTGCAGCGACAGCCCGCCACGGGAACCTCTTTACGGCCCTCATTGATGAGGAAGTTTTGCAGGACATTGGCCTCGCCCAGAACCTCCTCCACTTCCACTGGTGGCAACTTGCTGCTCAGCTGCTCTTTCAAGTCGTCGATTAGCCGGTAGATTATGTTGTAGCTGCGTATGTTCACTTCTTTGGCAGCTTGCACCTGAGGTGATTCGACTGCAAATGCATAGATAATGGCATCAAAAGCCTTGGCCAGCTCGAGATCCCCCTCGGTCACGTTGCCCACGCCATAGTGCACGATGTCTAGGCGGCAGCTCTCGTTGCTGTTATAGGTCTCCAGCACATCAAGAATGGCCTCCACAGAGCCATGCACATCGCCCTTGATAATGACACTGACTCTTGGCTTGCCCTCGTTGTCGTCCACCTGCTTGACTCGTTGGCCACCGCGCATCCGAAAGCGTCCAGCCAGCCGGCGAGCTTCACGCTCCGCCCGGTACTTGGCCTGGTGCTCCTCCTCCTTTTTGCGGATCTCATCGCTGCTGGACTCGATCTTTTCCTTTTGGTCCTCGTGCTCGCGATACTTAAGAACAGCATGCGCTTTTTTCTGAATAATAAAAAAAGTGTTATTGTGATGAGAATAAAAAAATCTGGCGTAGACCCACCTCCGTTTCCACCTCGAGAATGAGATCACCAGCAAGGGGCAGTTCCCGCCAGCCTAGAATCTCAACTGGAGTGCCTGGCGGAGCTTCACTCAAAGGCTGCCCATTGTGATCGAAGAGACCCCGCACCTTGGCGTGAGCTAGGCCACTTAGCAGTACGGAGCCTTTACGGAGAGTTCCACGCGAAACGATGGCCGTGGAGAGCTTGCCACGCCGGGGATCGGTTTTTGATTCCACCACAATTCCCTCCACCAGACCTGTGGGATCCGATTTCAGTCCCATGAGGGTGGCCTGTGTGCTGACCGCCTCGGCCAGAAGTGGCAGATTCGTGCCCTTGAGGGCAGAGATTGGAATCACTTGGACATCACCACCGTGCTCCTCGAGGGCAAGCCCCATTTGCGCTAGTTCTCGCTTGCTCTTTTCCTAAAAATATAAGTAGTTCAATAGGATATTTCTAGAATATTCTTTAAATCTTACAATATTAGCCTCTGGTTTATCGATCTTGTTGAGCGCTACGATGATGGGAACTTGAGCCTCTTTCGCCAGCTGGATGACCTCACGTGTTTGTGCCATAACGCCATCTTCGGCGGCCACCACGAGGACAATGATGTCCGTGGCCACAGCTCCTCGAGCTCTCATCGCGCTAAAGGCAGCATGTCCTGGTGTGTCAAGAAACGTGACCCGTTCTCCGTTTTCCAAGGTAACTGTGAAGGCGCCTATGTGCTGGGTTATCCCACCAGCCTCGCCGGCAGCCACATCCGCACCTCTGAGGGAATCTAGCAACGTGGTTTTGCCATGATCCACGTGACCCATTACGGTGACTACGGGTGGTCGTGGTTGCAGGAGCTCTGGAGGAGCAGGAGGTCTGGGTGTCACATCGCGCTCTTTCTGGTCATCTTCACTTGTTACTTCGGGTGTGGCCACCACTCGGGTTTTGGCGCCAAGTTTTTTGGCAATTTCCTGAATGATCTTTAGATCTGCCAGCTTAAAGGCGGGTTCAATGTTGTCGGCGCCCTTGACATACAGCATGGCCTCCTGGACATCATCTACGAGATGTTATACCATTAATGATTGACCAAATTAAATAATAACCATATTTACCCAGTGGTCTTTCCAGTTCCTTGGCCAATTGGGCCACGCTCATGTGCCTCCAGATATCGGATGCTCCGCCGCCTGCCGTTTGCGCCTTTTTGGGTGAGTACTCTATAATTCTGGGGGATTTCTAAATCAATTAGTGAGTGTGTCCTCTGAATTCGAGCGGGTTTTGAAAGTTTCTAATTTTACCGGCTTACAGTTTGAGAGCGAGTGCCGCAGTGGCTCTAAAACCTACCTTCTCCTCTGCTGTTTTGCGGCGTTTCAGGCGTGCGGCGCTTACATGCAAACCCCGTAGAACAGTTGAGGGCTGTTCCCATTGTGTGACTGCTCGGCAGGAGTGCAGGGTATTGGCCAGTCGACTTATATTCACGACCCGAAACATTTTCTACGCGCTCTTTCCTATTTTTATTTAACTTTAACTCAACTTTAAAGTCGCGTAACCGCTGCTGCCGATTTTTACCAGGGATGGATGATCAAATCAGCTGCTTTCCACAGCGTTGCCGTACATTTTAAGAGTGACCAACATAGATGGCGCGTTAATATTTATGTAGAATTACATGTAAAAATAAGTATGAAAAGTCAGTTTTGGCGCCATCTAGCGACTGAACAATTAGGCGCAACCTAATGTAAAATTCTATATGTAAATAAAATGTACAAGCGGTTCGGATTTTACATTACATTTTATAAATGAAGATCCAGCCCTGCGGTTAACTTTATTTGGCGGGCCTTTGTCATCGAAATATCGATGCATCGATAATGGCGCGAAAATACAATTTATTTATCTTATTTAAAGTTTATAGAAATGGGATAAATTCGGCCGGAACTTTTAGGAAGACGTCGTTTTTAATAGCATTTCCAAGGATTAAACTTTAAATTTATCATGCGGACGAGAAAACGTGCAGAATGTTGAAATTGTAATTTATTTAATAGTATTACTCTTATTACAAAAGCAATGATAAGAAATAGCGTACTTTAAGGGATAGCAGGAAACAAATGTGGGTTTCTGTTTTAAGCACTTTTATGCTTAAGATGGACACCCCACTTTCAGTAGGAAAAAACAAAATAGTTTAAACTTTTTGTTGGAATAATGTTTTAAAATTATTCTAATAAGTCCTTTAAGTTTAGCCTCCACATCCTTTAAATTGCCCTTCTAAGCGGCTGCGTGAGTGTCAATCACTGCCATTGGGGCTGCAAACTCAAACTGGCAGCTAGTTTGGAGGGATTCTCGGCTCTCGAGGCTCGAGCCCTTCTCGTGACTGACGCTGAATGCCACTTAATTCGGTTTTGAAGCGAGTTGCATGTCAAAATGATTGCTCTTCTGCAAACAGCGCATCTGTGTTTGAATTATGATGGAGCGCGCAAATATTCCAGATGCAAATATTTGCGCAAAACTACACACACACACACACATGCATACGGTGAGGGGCTAGCACATGCACACACATAGATACAGGAGTGACTTGAAGTGCTGGCCAGGAGCTGCAGATACAGATACATATACAGATACAGATACTACACATACAGGACGCAGGACTCTCGGCTCGGAACTTTGGACTACTAATGGCAAAGCGTGGCAGCGCCAAGCACTTTTGAAAATGTGTAACCGGCACTGACTGACTTTCGCCAGCTGAGGACCGAGGGCTGAGGGCTGAGTTCTGAGGACCAAGGACGAAGGACGAAGGAACGGTACTGGATTCCGGAATCGTTTGGCCGGAGCCAACATTTGTTGGTGGTGCTGCTGCCGCTGTTGCAGACATCCGCTGCCGGAAATACGCTTACAAACGCAGCCAGCACGTACGGCGAACACGGGTGCTCCTTCGAACAGGGTGTCCTTTCCAGGACGAGTCCTTGCCGAATAGGGGTGGGGCGGTATCACCTACCTACCATCCTGCCCCTCGTCCCCCGTTCATTCTCTGTTTACTTTGCAGCGCAAGAAGACGGCAGCGACGCAGCAAAGAACTCAAACAAAATATAACTGTTGGAAGAAGCTGATGCAACGGGCGGAATGGAGACGAGGAGAGGCTGGGGGGGGCACAGAAAAAGTTTACAATTTATCTAGTAAAATGTAATTAGGATCCTGGGTGCAGGCGCCGAGGCACAGCCCCCATCCTCCTCTTTCGGGATTTAAGTGCGTGCAACTTTCGTTGCGCTGAGCTCCTCGGCTTAAAGTTGCAGATACGGAGGATTTAATGCAAGGAGTACAGGCACAGAATATAAAAGAAGATGAGGAGTTAGGATTAAAGTTATTGATTAAGGGGTTCTTCGAAGATGAAGATCAATTTAGTGATTTGAGAAATCGTTCAACATAAAATTAAACATAATTTTAAATTTATAGTAAATCTTTACAATTATAAATAAATATATAAAATATAAAATAGTTGGCCACCTCTGTCAGCTAATCCGTTTCACATTAAAGCTGCACTAACCAAAGTATTTGCCTTGGTCGCGTCTTAATTTTGCCACCACAGGTATACTCGCATATGTATGTATAAATCCGGTTATTTGCTGAGAAATTGATTTTCGTTGATTTCTGCGAAAATGCGAAAATGGCGTGCTTGGCGAGGGCAGCTCGTTGAGTTTTCCCAATCATTTGAGGCGCTGCAATGGCAACTTTTCGGGCAAACTGCGCATAAGACATGCGCAAGAGCGACTGAGATACAGATACTCACAGATACACATACAAAAAGATACAGATACACACACGCACGGATGCGGGCACAGATACAAGAGAGCCAGAAACGCACACATTCAAGCCGACGAGGCGGAGCAAAGTAAACAAACATGGCCGAAAATGTTTGTTGCTCATAATCCGATACAAGTGCAAATGCCACCACACTCACACTCACAAGCAATATAAAAACCATCGCAGTTTCCAACTGGCTGGATATTCAAAACCCCATTTATCATCTCATCTCATCACATCTCAAGATGTGCGAACTTTTTGGCCAGGTGTTAATCACAGAAGCCATGTAATCGCCTTCAATAACTCAGCTGCTCGTTTCTTGGGCAATCGTATAGGGGCTAAGTGGCCACTCAGGCGTTGCCAAATGATTCTCTCGAATTCGGCCATAATTGAAGCAAAATTTAACGCGAAAACAATCCGATTGGCCATTCACTTTGCGCTAAAATCATTCTCAGATGAAATGTTAAATTTCACAGTAAAATAACATAAATATTTATTTATTAAGAGGAAATAAAGAACGATGCAACTAAAGTTCATCATTTATTATGATTATTTTGAATGTATTTACATTTTATTTATATTATCTTCCAAAACAATTTATAAATTAAGCTTGTTACAATTTTCAGAAGAAATTTTTAGTAATGTTATTCAACTTAGGTTAACTTTCTTAAATCAGGAAAAAAAATGTTGAAGCATTTATTAAAATAAAAAAAAACAAATCTTAGAAATACTCAAATTAATAAAAGATACTGTTTTTTCTAATGACAATTTCTGAGAAATTATATTTTCATTTCCTAAATCAACAAACTTTATCAAATAAAAAGGCACTTGAAGTTCTCAATTGCGCTTCCGACTGTTAAGCTATATGGCTAACAAAATTCGATAATAATGAAAAAAGGGAAGCGCACTCACACATCAGTTTAAAACTTGATAGTACCTATACTTTTCATTTATCAAGTCATCATCAGTTCCTTTTCCGCCTGTTTACCTCGTTGGAAATTGATTTGAAGTCGAGACCTGAAGTGCCAAGACCAATCATTGCCCATTTACGAACACTTGAAGGTAAATGGAAATTTTCAAAGCTTCATTTTAATTGAAGAACATTGCAGTTAATTAGCTGGGGGCTCTCCAATGGAGCTAGAAGTGACCCTGTCACATATGGACACTTGAGCGGGACCAAAACTTTTCGGACATCGTTGCACTTCAAAGCTGCGACCGCCCACTTGACAAGGAAAAAGTGTCGCCCACTTGAGTGCACCTACCACAGCGTCGGCATCTTGTCTTTTTAGGGTTTTAGGGTTAAGCGGGGTTCTCCTCTCGATCGGTTGGGTTTTATTTTCCAGTTTTTTTTTAGTCTTTTCTGGTTTTTTGCTTTTTGCCAGCCAACAGGTAATCATCATCGGCGCAATGGCAGCTTTCAAATATAAGCAAAATATTGACAGAGCGGCAAACTCCAAGGCGAAAAGGCCCCGACATCAATTTCTGGCCATATACCCGCATATATCGTATATGCATATGCGATCCGTCGCGATATGACGTTGCCGATTCATCGGGCCAGGTAACACCGTCTCGTCCCGTCCACACAGGTAATTCGAGTATTTCCATCCCCAGGTTTCACTGTTTACACACATTAGAGCCATCCATCCAGCCAGCCAGCTCTACAACATCCGTTGTAGCCGTTGTCGACTGTCGCATTCAAATGTTGTTTTTAGCCATTGAAGTGGTAAATTTCACCTGTGTGCGAGGTGGAACGTCGATGGCAACGGCGGCCCATAGACACGGCCACTTACAACAAATGCATTTTGACCGGGGGTTCGGCGGTTCGGCCTTTGATAGTGGACCACACACAGACTCTCTCATAAATGCGGCGACACTTGAGTTGATTGATTTCGAGATGCAAGCATCCGCGAGATGCAAAAAAATAAAAGAAGTGGAAAAACACCGAAGGAGAGGAGGGCCAAATCCTCCAGGGAGGGGGTGAAATATTCCACTCTGGTGGTCCTCCCTAACTGAACCGAGTTTTTATACCCTAAAAGAGGGGTGTATTGTAAACGTGGGATGAAAAAGCTAGCATATAAGGTTTATATGTTTTATATTAGTTATCATATTGCATTATGAACAAGGTTTAAAGTGCTATTTCAATCAAACTCCCATGATATTTTAAATATTTAAATCAATATATAAAAAGAATTTTTTTTTTATTTGTTATGCTTATCAAGAAAGAAATCATATAATGATTTCAAATAATGGGATGATTATAACATTTTTTTTCTGATATGATAAGTTGGTAATTTTATAGGTAAGTGAATTTCAATGTGCATTGATTCTTGGTTTTAAATGGATAGCTTAATATGCCAACCATTTCCTTGAGAAACCCTGCAGTACCAGGTATCTTATAGTCGGTAATACTCCATTATGACATTCCTTCTCGTTGTCGTTGTCATCAAGAGATCGGCCATGGCTGTTAATTTGCTGGAGGAAGTTTCCATTTAGCACTTGGGCAAACAGTCTCTGGTTTCTGCAGTTGTCACCCAGAACAAGAACATTCCTCGATGCCAAAGTCCGGCCAAGATTGCCATAAATACAAAATATCAAAAATATTATTGCCAAGGGGGTGGCCGGGCAGAGAGCCTTATTGTTGCTTCTGTTTGCGGTTTGCTGCCGCTGCTTCAAGTGCCATTCAGCTAAATTGTTTGTATGTCAATCAAAGATGAAAACGCGCAACGGAAAATGCGAAAATTAAACAGAGGGCGGTGGCTGGTGGGTGGTTCTGGGATGGCATCG